TTTTCTATTTTACACGAATTTCGCCGAAAAATTGACATATATAAAAATAATCACTTCTTGTGTATAAGTATACACGTTGCGGATTGTAGCAAGACCCTTCCGATAAATCTTGGGGTTCTATAAGTAGGAATAAATATTAAAATAAAATTAAAGTGCGTCTAAATTGCGTAATTGTCAAAACCATTTGATGAGCATGCGGTTTCCAGGAAGTACTGAAGTTTATCTTCCAATCCATGTATATTTTCCGATATTTCAATTGACGGCTAAGATGTACTACACTTTGCACAGAAGTACCCAAAAACTCTCAAAACGCGAATAATTTCCGAATACTCCGTATGCCATTAACGCGCATCAGATTTCGGTGTGCACCCTAAAAATATACATCGATCTATACCGATTTCAATGTGATCCATTAAGAACCATGGATGACCCAGCTTACACTATTTTTGAGATAAATTGGGTTCATCTTTCTTTCGGCTGAAGTTTTTAATGTTCTGTTTTCGAAAAAGATCAAAATCCGTATCGTGTCATTTATTGAAGCGGAAATGATCCACAGAAAATGCAATTAAATCCGCGATATTTTCAAAAACTTTTTTTTGTCCAATTTCGTGTTTTCGAAGGCCAGTTCCCGCCGTTCTAGTAGATAGATTTTCACGAAGAAGATTTTATATCATCCGAAACGTAAAAAACCTTACTGATCGCGGGTACCAATATCATTTAGTTGACAGATCTAAAAATTTGGCCCGAAAAATAGATTTTTAAGAAACTTGATCGCACAAGATTTCCACCTTCGAATGAGTGTTACTCTGAAGCTGTGCATACTAAATACACAAAATATATATCAAATTACTCAGATTCGCGACTACAGTAATCTTATAAACGATTATTAGAAATTCCTGTTGGCGTATTAAAAAACACTCAAAATCGATCAGCATCATTTAAAGGTAGATGCAGTTAAAATTTTGAAAAGAAGACAAGACAAGAAGACCGTGAATTGTGTGGCTCAGTCACAAATCGATAGAAAACATAAAAAAACTGGTTCGCCTCAACCGGTTTTTGCACATTTTTTCGCATTAAAGTAGACACAGCTTCCACCACCAACCGCAGATCAATGAACCCAAAACTATTCACATTTTTCATATAATTAGATAATTCCCGAGTTATTAAGGGGTAAACCTCCGCTCCAGATATGTTGTCATAAATTATTGGATCGCAATGATCGAAACAGCCTATTGTAAATAAATTTAACATTTTTATGTGGAGAACATCATTGAAAAGGCAAATATTGGAAGCACAACACAAATGTGGTAGCCACATCCATCCATTTAGGATGGCTTTGGAAAACATTCGTTAAGGCACTATAAACAGCAACAGTAGCGTAAGCAACAGGGACATAAACATGACTATCCGTTCAATAAACACAGTTTGTCCGTTGGCACACAAAGACCCATTCACTCGCATTTAAACTCATCCATTTAGCCATGTCAAGATTGACACATATGTACAAACACAATCTGAACATATAGTTACATACACCTTTCTATGAGTGTGTGTGTGTATATTTGTATTTGCGAACGCAAGTGCATATAGAGAATTTAAATGAGGCTGATGCGGAATGATCTCTGCAGGAATGGTAAGTTGTGAATATAAAACTCAAATGTTCTAGGTCAAACAGGTCGAACATTTTATCTTTGGCAGAATGTCCACCATATAACAAATATGGGGGAAATTTTGAAATTAGTTAAATGATGATGTTTCAAAAATACATAAAAAGATTTAATACATTTTTGGAAAGAAAAAAAGTTAATTTTTTATTTCAAATAAGCTGATAAGTTCAATGCATTTTTTTAAATTGCAAAATTTATCTTCATTTAAAAATATACTCTGCGTTTAATTGGATCTAAATAATGTTACATACATATCTAGATATTTATGTAGATTTAATTTTCTGTATCTAAGAATAATGTGACAAGACATTTGCCAAACTTTCGTTTCGTATAGTCGTTGTCCTATATTTTTCAGTTAGAAATGAGAAAGGATTATAAAAGGACATGCAAATGTAGTCACACTCCTAAAACCGAACTCATACTGTCAGCAATGGTCATGTAATTTGGGTTTAAAATGGACAAGCTATACCCTCAGAGTGGTGTATGTGTGCGTTAAAGTTGGCGGAAGCTATTTAAGTAAATGAGTGGCTTCCGGACCTTTTAGTGTCCTCGTCCAACACAGTCGCTGTCTACTTATCATGAATATACATGCACGTCAGTTCATATGAGTATATGTGTGTGTGTTTTTAAAATTTTTTTTGTCAGAACTGTGAAAATAGATGTTAACTTTAGGATTTGTTTGTATTTTTCGTAATTTAATTTAGTACAAAATAATCGTAAACTACAATTTTGAATATTAGAATTACACAATTCACTTATTGTCTAATTAAATGTTCATATTAATTATATGTTTATTACATTTTATTATTTTTGTATATTAAGACATCTTAAATAGACGAAATGTTGCATCAAATTGAAATGTGGAGCTGTTTTTGAAAACAAAGGTTCATGTATGCATTTCTCATATAAGGGATTAAAAAGGCCCTTGGATTAATATATATTGCTTTGTTCACCAAAGAATAAAACCGAGTAAAGTTTTAGACCTTCCGTTAAAACCAAATACTTTGACTGCAATGATAAACAATTAATTCAAGCACTATCATGCCATCAAGGGAGATCATGAGTAACGCCGGTTTTCTTTTTAATATTGAGCGGATGAACGTAAAATCATGAAAATATATCGGGAGTATATTCAAATTAGAACCAATCTAGACAAAAATTTAAATATGTCATTCTGTCAAACGGAGAAGTAGTTGACAATAAAAATAAAATTTCAACGTGGGGCACCTTTGAACAGCGCTCATAAAATCTCGGTTTAACATTTTTCCGACCCGCAACCACTTTTTTGTATTTGGCAATATTGTTCTTTATCTGCGTAAACCATTTTGGGTAGCTTTTTCAGTTGTCGACAAAATTTACATGACTGACCATGTTTTCGCAGTGCAATGGTAAACTTTTCTCTCGTTAAACAATTTTTTTTGCATTCCAACAATCATTTCAAACTTAACTAAAGTATTTTCTTTTATATATATATTACCTACTAAAAAAATTATTACAAATTTCCGTAAAATGTCACAGGTGGGGGAACTTTGAACTAGAACAGTAAACTCCAGTAAAAAACGGAGTTTTTAACTTTCGGCATCGATTTCTCAAAATTTCAAATTACATATGTACCTATTAGTAAAAATTTATAAGAAACCACAAATTATAAAATAACAAATTTTGTGAGGCTTGAAAGAAAAAAGTGTTCAAAGGTGCCCCCCCACTACTACTTTCTTCTTTTTTAAATTAAATCTAAATCTCGTGCTATACTCTTCTAAAGACACGAATTAAATTTATTATTAAATTCGAATCAAGTCGTCAGGGTTTTTGCAAGTACAATTTTACAAGTATAATTTAACCATGAATAAAAGTTAAGTTCTGCTGGGTCGAACTTTATAACCCTCCACCACGTGGGGTGCATTCAAAATTCGTTAAGTCGATCGAGACATTTATATGGTAAATATGTTATTTTGTTATGTGAATTTGGATCGATCAAAATATACCAAAGTACTCTTAAAAATACCGATTTGTTAATTTTTGATAGGAAGATTTGACGACCCATACACATTTTATAAATCAAATTAGAGCGAATTCAGTTGGTACACTCGTATCGAATAATAAGTGTACCATTAAATGGGGGCTACACGGATAATTGGACCAATATTGATTATTTTTGGTAGTGAGATAAGAATTCAAAATATAAAATCACTGTTAATTTGGTTGAAGCATATATTCCAGCTCCCCAACATACCGAAGTTTAGGATGTAGAGTTATATGGGGGATTCCCTGAAAAGGAAGATATCGCATACCGAATATTAGGGGGTTCCTCAAAACATAAGTCAATACTACTAATATGTCGTAGACAGATCTGATAGCCAAAGTGGATCCAAAATACCAATTTACAGCTGATTCTGTTAAAAGTGTCTAAACCCCCTATGGGGCTACACCAAAACGTGGTGCAATTCCAAACATACTAGGAGTACTAGGGTTCTTTCAGAGCGCTATTTTAAACATTGCGATCTCTAACATGATTTCAACGATATATAATTTTATTCCGATCATGAATATGTATACTTTTTTGGGTATCCGGTGAATATTTCGAGGTGTTGCAAACGGAATTTGACTCGCCAGAAACTTCAGGAGCTTGGTTGAGAAGTTTTAACGCATCCGCCATACAGTCCGGTCTTGGCACCAAGCGATTATCATCTTTTTAATAATTTAATATTTAATATTTCAAAATTTGCCATACCAGTTACCGTTCAAATCGAACCGATTGGAATATGTATACCAACATTTCGCTTTCATTTTACTAAAGTTGCTACTTCATAGCAATATGTAGACAATGAGGATATTCGCGACAACACCAAAGACATTGGATATTTTGCATTCCAACACGTTGAGCTTATGAGAATGCCAACAGAGATGTTTTAAACACTTTAAGAGCCTCTTGATGCCATTGTTCGGGCACTTTTCCCTGATATAGCAAATGACCCCTCAATATACTGATGATACCGACGAATACCTGAAGTGCCTGTGCGTGTTCATGATTTATAAGCTTACAATGCAATACACCGGCAGTAGTAGCATCACGTCAATCTACCATTCCCGGACGACATGTTCGGCCAGATATTTGTGTTTGTTTGCACGTTTTGTAGGTAAAGAGAACCAAACACCGCCTAAAGTGGATTTAGTGCTACTAAATATATTACAGATGCGCAGGAGCGCATATTTAGGTATGAGTAGAGCGCGGCAATGGAATGTGGTAGTAGTTGATAGATGGGTGTGTGTGTGTGTGCAATATATGGGTGGAAAAGCATAGATACGATGAAATGATGTTACTGCAAAACTTACATCGACATTGATGCCAGACACCGGAAAGACCAGTGTCGGAGGTGACTCTTTTGGCACGTAGCGATAGAATTCCTCGGTACCAAAATACCAACGCACTGAATATAACGCCGCCTGCAAAGAGAAAGAAAACACAAACACTCACTAGTACACAAGATATGAAAGAAAAATGAAGATGAACAGCGTCAGTTTAAGAAACAATTTCACTTGCAATTAATTTAATTAGGATTGTTTTTTGTCTTACTTGAAAGTAATATTTTATTCGTGAAGGGTACAGAGTGAGTGTCTAGAAGGACTTTGGGATGAAAACTAACTTTAAATGTAAACACTTATAGAAAATGTAATTTACTTTTACCATTTAAATATATTAATCAGTCGAATATCGGCATATTTTAATCGAAAAACGATTAAATTTAGAAATGAATTTTGAAGTTATGGCATGCGTATTAATGATATTTGTACTTCAATGTCTCACAAAACATCGGATACCAAGATGAACGTTTTATTAATCTGTTATTCCCATTTCTATACTTCGACTCAGTCAACTATTTAAATTAGATACAACTATTTTTATTTCTAAAAACAAAATTGCTGTATATGTCTTCACTTTGTATCATGCTTCCTTCTAAGGTTCCCCTATTTTAGTAACAGCAACATTGTTTATCGTTATAAAATTATTTAAAGTCATCGAAGTGGGCTCACGTCCAACGTTTCATTCTTCCAACTTAATTACAATAATTCTTTGTCGTCTTTTTTGTCAGTTTCGATACCCTCGATGTCTTCAAAATAGTAAATAAAGTTTTTTTTTGTGCAATGTGAAATTATGTTTAACTGACATGTTCTATATGTGCCATCGCAGAGATGCGAGAAGGTAAACTATACACTTACCTGTTCCAGGTCATACTGACACGACAGCGTTGCAGCATTGCCCATAATAACAGCATCTGGTACGAATATTTTTAGATCTTTCAGACAATCAACTGGAAAATAAAAACAAAAAACGACATCGGGTTAAATTTATGGCACAAATTAAAATAATAACACATTTTTTGGGATAATTAATACGAATAAAAGTGTAACAGTATGCATTATTTAATTAATGATAAAAAAATCTCCCCAAAATTAAGACATTTCTGAAGCTACGCTTTATTGTAAACATCACCAATAAGATAGTTATCTTTTTTAAAACTCATAACATGTTTTCAATAATCAAAAATAATGTCGCACTGCATTAGGAAGGGAAACATGTGGTTAATATTTATTTTAAGGTTGTTTTTTTCTGGGCTTTTTATTTTATTTCCTTACCATTTCTGTAAAAATAGGTACTATTTATTTCATAAATCACTTTATTACGAAAAAACGAAACTTGCGCTGTAATTGTTATGCAACGCATATGCATACGTCTCTTTTACGGTACGCTTCTAGCGTATACTTCATTTTTTATCATTACGAAACTCATACGCTCCCACCTGCGAAGTGGGCTCAATAATGAAATTTCATTTGGCGGCAGCCATGGCCACAATTAAAAATCCCAAAATAAAAAAAAATAAAAATGATAATCTCTCTCTGTTACATGATAAATTAAATGTAAATTCATTAAAGCGTTTAATTATTTAATCGTAAACGTTAATGAATGACGCGCAAATTGACAAATTTCATTATTGTTGGCATTGTGTAATGTCACGGGTCTCCTTCAATTGGCATTGTCATAAGAACTGACAGATAATACTGTGCACTCACGGTGGATGTGTGGAGGTAAGCGCTTCAAATACATGCAGTGTATGACATAAGTATAGCGACAAACATTGGATTAATGATGAAATAGCACACGGAAAAAATTAACCTAATATAATTCGCTTAAAGTACAAAGAATTTGTACAGTTTTTAGGGATATATGTGGCACATATTTACTTAATAAGGGTAACCAATTAGAATTGAATAAATATTTGATTATATTGAAAAATGAATTTCATATTTGTTGGGAATATTTCTTGAGTGTAATAACGTTAATAGGCTCGATTATGTGCCATTAAAAGTAGTACTTATATGCCATACTAGACAAATGACATACGAATTTTGCATCTGTGCTTGACACCTCATTAACAAACGTGAATTTATGGAAAATATGATAAGTGTTCGATCTATTGAAAATAAAACAGTCATTTACCAAACAATGCACTGATAAGGCACTTGCCTGTACACACACACACACGTTGACAACTTCAATTTCATGAACTCACCTGCCACAAAACAAGAGCAATTCATATCAATGGGCTGTTCATCATATAGACGTTTGGTATATATGTATGTATTTTTAGATGTATATGCATATATTAGTGACAATATTAATTTATTTATAATTTCAATTAAAAATTACAAGTGGTTACGGTAGAATATTGAGAATAAATTGATTTACTAAACTGATTTATTGTACACTAATAAATAATTATTATATTTAATTTCAATTTATAACTCATGCTAGTATTAAGAACAAGACCCATAATTATAGTGATTGGCACCACTTGTGTGCTATAAATGGATCTAAACGAATGTTGGTGGAAGTGGCTATACATATATGCTGATATATCATTATGGTTATCGGCTCAGAAAGTGATTAAGTGTAGCTATATGCTTCAGATTACTATTTTCTCTTTTGTAGTTGTATTCCCTCATTATTATTTGATAATGAATAAATTATGCTCCTTAAATCGGTGGGGAGGGACCTTCAAGGGGACTATAATTTAAATTGTCTACTACTAACCTACAATTAACAAAACAATTTTTAATAAATAATTTTTTATATTTAATTCTGCTCCCATAATATTTTGGAAATATTTGTTTGCTCTATAGTTTACAAATCAATTTATGATTTCAAAGTTGTTAGTAAAAATTTGTACCACCCACTATGTTAGTGGACATTGGCACCATGAAGTATTATTGTACTTACCACATATACTTATATCTGAAATTATTATCCATATGCCGAACATCCAGCTAAACCATTGATATAAACTTTTCCTTTTTCCAATCATTGTGAAAGCTTATATTTTTATAAATTTAAAACCTGGAAAGAAAAAACAAAAAATAAATAATATAATTAAATTATTTTAATGTTAGCAGGCATTTTTAATAAAATCTACGAAAACAATATATATATATATATGGCTTACGTTTAATATGAATTAAAATTTAGTACTTATTAAATGGTTTACGTTTCGAGCACTTCGGGCCTTTTATTTACCTTTTTGTAATATCAATATAATATGCTTGTAACGAATGCACTTTCATTTAATTGTATGTCATATGTGTTTATGTAAATACATACAAATAATGTTTGAGCATTAATAATCTAAAAAAAATCATTGTCTTTTGGAAGAGTCATATTGCTATAATCGTATATGTAGAGTTTTTATTCGTTTAAATTTATTTTCTTAAAATTGTGCGATTTTGTTTTTCATTTATAAAAAGCGATGACAGCAGGCGGAAAACACATATTATGCGTACCTTATTTTTAACAATTGAAAAGTTGTACATTTCTTTTGCGACAGAGTTTCGTATTCTGTTGAATTTTTTATGATGATGTTTAAATAACTTTTTTAATTATCTTTTCAGAAACATAACAATAATAATAACTACAAAAGTGAATCCATAAAACAGAAGCATCAGAGGAAACGACTAGCAATGATCTGAAAATTTTTATGCCCTGCTGGTGCCGGACAGAGAAACCTGCAATGTAGTGGACTGACATAAAGTGAATCGTAGTCAAGCAAGTATAACCTCATAAAAGGACATAGCATTTCTCCAACAGCATATGAACACACCTACACACATATTTTCACAGCCCGTTGCAATATTATTCTCTGCAGGAGATTGTCATTACATACCAGATTGTCTCTGTGTTGCCAATATTCGGAAAATTGGACATTTTATTTATGTACAACAAATTATAAATATATCATAAGATGTATAATGTAAACTATTAAGTTGCAAAACACAAGATGGATACCTGAAATGCAGAGATGGAATCTCGAACTCGGTAAATTTTGGTACTATTTTATTTTCGACTCCGACGAAAATAAAACAAAATACGTTTATAAAATGTTTCCCAAAACTTCTAAGTGTATTTTTCAATGGAAAATATACATATATTTGCAAACTATATAAAATATTAAAATTTAAAAAGCCAAACAAATAACGAGAATAGGTTCTTACATCTGAATTTACTTTCGCTTGCTTCATCAAATTGGCTAAAAGTCTATATACCTTGCAGTATTACATGCTGAATTTCTATTGATAAAAATGACTCATGGTCCCAGCCACTATAGAGTGCAATTTGAAATTTGACATTTCGGGATTGTAGACACAATTATTGTCAGTTATATTTCTTTTTGAACGTTATGATCTATAAAGTCAAAAACATACCCTGAGATATAAGCGTATTATATAAACATTATATAATGAATTTTGCAGTCTATAAACTAAGGTATTATTCTTTTACTGATATACCACATATATTCGTATGTATAAAAATATATTTATAACATGAAAATAAAATGAGATTTGAGACTGCATATACATATATCGTCTATGTACTTAAAATTTTATGTTCCTAATAATATGTGAGAGAATAAGGGTTTATGTTTTTTGAATTAAAAAGGGGCAAAGCTTAATTAAATGAAGAATAAGACAAAATATAAATGTTTACGAGTTGTCATATATTTAATTGGATACATATTTATTCATAAAAAACTGCGGGATGGTGACAAAATTGACATACTCGCCTTGTAAATGTATATATATATATATATATATATATATATTATCGCAATTATCTTAGTAATTTTTCTATTTGAATTGTAATTTTATGATATAGATATATGGACAAAACATGAATGGTATCAAAGTATTTACTATTTTCAAAAATTTAAATTGCATATTTTTTGTTATTTTGAATAGTTTCTATATATTATAAATATTACATATTTTTCAATCGAAAGAATCGAAAACAGAACCTTAATGATTACAAGAATCAATACCAGGAACCCGTTATGATTTTTTCCGACAACTCATCAAAATCATCAACAATCTAACGAATTGCCAACAAACAATGAGAAATAAAAAAAGAAAATAGCAATGAAGGGTGGCAAAGTGGAATTTTCGGAATTTCAATTTTTGGTTTCATTGCAAAGTTAGAAAAAAAAAAACAATAAAGAAACAACATGAAAATTGAGAATGAAAGAACTCACGATTGTACCCGTTTCCTTTATTCCTATCTTTCGATATTCATACTTAAACAACTGCATAACAAGACACAATACAATGGAAAACATGGTTTGAAAAATCACAAATTGGGAAAGTAAAAAATCTGTAAAAGTGCGTGTGTGATCTACAAGGAGATGAAGTATTCATCAAACAATGCGGAAACCTTTGAATCATTACTTTAGACTTCCGTTTTAAGTGATTTGGAGTCGGATGTTGGTTTTTCGTTTTCGTTTTTTTGGGCTGCCTCTATTCTTTTATCTTTTCTTTGTTCAAATTACTGAAGTCAGATTTGTGCTCGTTTGCTTTCATGCTTTGCTAAGTCTTCTTGCAGTTGATACTCAATCAATTTGAATTGCACTTGATGCCTCAAGAGATGACAATCATTTTAAAGTGAAACAAATTATATTTCGATGTGTGTCTGTGTGTGTTTTAGTACGTGTGGTTGTACAGAATGAAAAGGGGGAGTGGTGTATGTCATACTTCGAGATGTTCAAGGCCTGGGGTCTATGTGAATGTATTGTCTTACTAGAGTACTACTTTCATTTTTTCAGTATTTCTTTCGCAAAACCTATCATCCATTTTATTCGGTAGATTCATTGGGTGGGCGTGACATCATCTGTCATTTTTGTCACCACCCAACTTTGTGGTTTGAACGGATGTTCCTGATATGCACCGTGGTAAACACATTTAAATGGAACCCTTTTTTTAAACGGACGTCTTTAGGCATTTCAATATTCTCAAATTTTTTGAAATGCAGAATATATTTATGTGATCTGACGAAAGTAAAATATAAGTGTAGGAAAAACATTCAAACATTCAACTTTGAATATAGGATATATAAAATATTAGAAATATTATATTATAATAATATTATTAAAATTTTTTACTTATGTATTTACAGAAATTATTTTTTTTTAATTAGAAATATTAAAAAGTCTACATTTGCTGTAATTTGGCATTTCTAACATATAACTAAACTCGTTCAAAATTTGTCTAGATATGCCGACTCTTTGATAAACAATCCGTAGAAAAGAACATGTCATCCGATTTTCAAAATGTCAGAGTTTTTCTATTATTTCGAAACTCCTTGGAGTCTGACATTTTCGAACATTGTTTAATATTTACTTTATTTTTGAAGACGCCTTTCTGGTTATTTCAGATTGATCAAGAAACTTCCAAAACTAAATACTCTGAATTTGGTAAAAGCACATTTCGATTTACGCAAAACCACTGTTTTTAAAATCATTATGACTTCGTTATGAATACATCATCCGGCAAGTCATTTTTCTTCCTGCTCCCATCTGCTGTGTCAGATGATGGAATATTTTTCGAAATATAGCCTTCCATGCCTATTACAAATATCTCTTCATTGTTTATAGAATTGGTTTTTCTACGTTTCCATCTTTCGTAAAACGTTTCACATTTGTAGGATGTTTATGTCTTATCTTTTGAGCAAGTAAGTGTTTATTGATTAAAGGACCCGGATACGTCTCTGTGACGCCGACTGTGACTATGGCGAACATGCCACACAGCGAAGACAACAGAAAAGACATGTGTGTTTGTTTGCTAAGCAATAAAAACACTCTTACAGACATTTGAAATGTTGTAGTTTGGTTTTATTTATTTCTGTCATTCGTTCATTTAACATCATGAATGGATATTTAAATGGATTTTTGATTAAGTCCTATTTATATACTCGTATACTGGCAAAGTGGGTTGTTTTGTTTATCAATCATAAGAGGGTCATGACACAATGTGGAAACTATCTGCAAAGGGTTTCGCCACACTCATTTGTCCAAATGTAGCAAAAATAATATCATATCCTTTGAATGTCATCTTAGGCCACATCATTGACCACAGATACGAATAATTTAATTGGGATGATCTCAGTCACAACAGTGCATAGAAGACATCAGCCTCCATCAATGGGAGTTTACGCATATAGAAAAGAGAAAATATTTCAATGGTTCGAAGTTTCATTTATTTTGGTATGGCACTTTTGCGATTATATCAGAAACTCTCATATACAAATATTTCTATTTTACTTATTTTTTTTTTTTAGATTTTAGCATTAATAATCTAACTTTTGTGGTGTACCATGTAGCTGATTTTATAATTCCCGGCCAAGGTAAATGATAATCATAGTAACCACACTGTAAAATCTATTTATTTTTCTTTTTGTAGGATGTACGTCATTTGAAAATAACCAAGTCTCGTCCGTTGACAGGGAATACGTGCTGATGGAAGAGAGTAATTCTTAAGAACAGCATCATTTATAACACTTAAATTCACGAGTAATGACATAGATTGGCATGGACATGCTGGTAATGATGATAAAGAAAAATACGATTTACCTAAATTATTTGAGATTTTAATGGCAATAACAGCTGAGACACCAAGAAACAAGTAACCTTGAGAAAATTACACTAACATATTTATTTTTTATGTGCTAATATATGTAAGATAATTTTGTTTATAGTTTTTTACATTTTGACTACAACATATCATATATATTATATACAAAGTTATCTTGAATAATTGTGATCGATATTCATATTACAATGTGTAAATATTTTATATATTATTAAAAAAATATATAAATGCTACACCCTTGTGTCACAAAACAGCTCGAACATGCTTGCTACATTTAGTTGTCCTACCCTACCATCTAAATAATTCACTTTTGTCCACAACTCCCTTTCAGACATAATACCTTTTTGATAACGAATTATTCAATCTATAAATCTCGTTTTTAATTAAAGTTTTTTTTACTTAACCCTTCCAGCAAATTTCAAAATCTCATTCATTTTCCCAAATAAACCATTGTCACATAACGAAAATCTCTAATTTAAAAAACGGACGATGATTAATAGCAACGCCATCGACACAAACGAAACGCAAGGAAAACTTTCACAAAGTAAAATGTACGCAAAAGTTTGACCCACAAGTAAGGGGCTTAACTTTGTTCTGCATTTACGAGGACAGGAAGTTTTTACGCTTCGATGTGTGCGCGTCTTCGGGAAATATATGAATGGCCACCCGGTTATTTCTTTGGACAACAAATGAAGCATAAAAATAGTTTTCTTTTCTTCAGCTAAAGTGTATTTGGACAACAAGTTGAAAAAATCCGTTTGATAACTCCCCCACCATTGGCGCTAACAATGTTTAGGGTTGCATCTGTATATTTGAACACAAAGGAACAATCATTGAATGTTCCCGTTCCAGTCGCCATGAACGGATCATTTTGTCGATTTTTTTGTTGCTGCAGTCAATGACCGATAGATAGAGAAAGGAAGACGGGTGGTCTTAAGAAAACCCCGGTATTACCGAATTCTCAACTTGCAAACAGTAATATTTCATGAGTGACTCATTGCATGGAAGGAAGTGTTTGTATGTGACTTAAATAAATCCTTTGCGTATATTTGTGAAGGGAGAAAAGTCCTTGTGGAAATGGAATCACTGATGGAATACTGCAATTTCTCCAATAAATATAGGAGAGGATTTAAGGGAATTGTTCGAATTCATTTCAAATTACTGGCTATTGTTTGAGGTACAAATGTTTCATAGCTCAACAACTTGTTAAGAAATTTTAAAAGGATAACATATGAATTTCAACGTATAAGGTGGAGGAATACATTTTGAAAATGCATTATAAAGAATGACAATTTGAAAATAATTATTTGAATTTGAATAAATAAAGGACATAATTAAATTAAAATAACCATTTGCAATGACACATTTTTATCCTCGGAAAAAGCAATGTCAATATTATTGATCAAGTTCTAATGTGTTTTAAATAGGCCCATGTATATTTTAGCTTCGCCTTCAATCATAATCTTTTCCAAATAAAGGTCTAAATTAATATGTTTTTCCTGAGGGAATCAAAGGACTGCAGTTTGGTATTTATTTTATCCCATGGTGCAAGATTGTATCCAATTGATTTGTATCAGAGTTGTTGTTGTTTTGTTGAAAAAATTTTTAAATTAAATCTAATAACGTTTAGTCATATGTATTTACAAAATAATCTACATTAAAAAAAAACATATATTTTGAAATAATTTTCTATTCAGGCTCCGAGTACTGATAAACTCGACATTACCATTAAAGATACTAATTTAATTTCCCTAAACTAAAGTAAAATCAAAGTTTGCAACGTCGCGTTTTTTATTTAAAACTAGAACAGAAAGTAGACAACCCAACCAAAAAATAGAAAACAAATAAAATTTATATATAATATGATGTGATAGATTAAACGATTGGCTAGGTAACCTTGATCTTTTGTAATATTCATGGAACAGTTACAACTTTTCTACTGAAATTAAGATTTCATTCACTTCTGTATTCTGTTTGAAAAAATTACCTTTCCCAACATATTCGAGTTTTTATGTAATTTCATAAAGCTTCTCGTTGAATTATGATTGTGCTGGTTGATAGGAGGAAACGAAATGAATGAGACTTTAAGAGATTTCTACTTGAGTATAGGCGTATGTACACAAGTATGCCGTCTTGTTTCAGCATTGCCGTTTTGCTGACAACAACATACAAATTAAACCAAAAAAAGAAATAAACAAAAACGAAATGAAACCACAAAATATGAGTTGAAAAGGTTGGCTGCCATAACAAAGACAAAAACAGAGACTCAGGTGGAATGGTTTCGCAATCCTCATATTCGTCATTGTCCTCTCGTATAACGTGATGAGTGTGTGTGTGTTTGTGTACATATGCTATTTCATGTGTCATTGTATTGTGTGTGCGTGTGCATGCTTGCGTTCAAAGTATTTATGCAACAATAACTTTATGAGTATTTCATAACATGAAATCCTGTCATAAATTTCAGCTGGTTGCTTCATATGACGTTCTCGTTGCTGTTGTTCTTATTTTTTGGTTCGCAATCTATGAAAAACAATGAACAGATGAAAGGAAAAACTTAAGTGAAGTTTAATGAAGTTGGTTGTTAGCACTGACGTGATGAAAATTTTGACATATCAATTTCAACCAAAAATACATTTTGAGGTTAAGTAATCGAAAAAAGAAAAGATGATATCATTTTCAAATTATATCTCGCAAAGGATCATTAATATCATAACAATTTATATATATATATATATTAAAAAAGTATCGTTAACCTGTGAAATACGATATTTTAAAAGGAAATCCATTGTACAACGTTGAATATTTTATCTATTAATCTTATATTTATGATTAAAATATAACAGGATTACAAATATATTAATATATAATGGAAATTGGTGAAGTTGTATTATCACTAAGAATTGTTTTTAATAATGTTTTTTTTTATATATCATCACCCCAATGTTCCCTCTTTTATTTCGCATATCTGAAAGTGGAAATATTGCTTAAAGCTACACAGACTCTGTGTGTTTTAAATATAACTCTGTGGCAACTCCCACATTTGTATTTTTTCACGCAAGCTTTACTCATGCGAAACGGGACAGGTTGAAAGATGTATGAAATTAAGATCAAGTAATTTTTTCCTATTTTTGAGGGAGATAAAACTAACAAAAGTGTGTTATAAGTTATCCGTTCCTAATAAATAATTAGAAACAGTTTTAAGTTGAATATTATTACAAATTTAAATTTTTCATAATAGTAAATATGCAAAAAAAAACACTTAATAATTGAAATACAATTTCCAAAACTTTTTTATTTTATTTTTTTGTAATTGTTAATAAATTAAATACTGACATATCAGCATATATGTATGTTATTGTTTTGATGGAAACGCACTTTAGTAAACATTTCTTAATGGAGAAATTAACAAATTAATTAGCTATACGAAAATGTCATGTATACATTTGGAAATGGCGCATATTGTTCGGAAAGCGAATTGTATTAAATTTATGAATTAGAAAAATTTATTTCAAATTAAAAAATAGTTTATTACATTCCAGACAAAACACAATTTCGTGTTAAATATGTAGATATTCGAGGCCTTCGAATTTATATTTCGTATATTTTATACGACATTGACTAGTGTATTTGTTTTATACATTTTCCAAATGAAATTGATCTCCTGTCATTGAGATTTCATACATATCAACATTTTAATTCCATCTTAATTGCCTATACCACAAGCGTAAATAACTCGGTGTTCAAAACACATTTGTCACACAAATCACCCACGTTGAATACCACCGCTTTTCAAATCTTGTCTTTCGACACTCAAACATCAAAGATTGAAATCTTAGCCAAATGTTTGTTGAACTACTTTAGATGCAGCGATAGTTTTGAAGTGTCTACCAGGGGTGTATCCGCAATTGCTGTAGTTTTTGACTGCAGGCTACTTGCTTTGTTTTACACTCCATGTTTTAATTTATTTATTTTGTTTACACCCGTTTGTGATGAAATGACGACAACGACGAGCTGTTGATGTTCATGACGATGACCTGCATTTAGAAAATGTTTTTTATACCTTGTCATGAGGGAATCCTTTTTTTCCGGTACTGCCACTTGCTGTCATTCTGTGGGGTTTTACACAAAATCAAATCACTCTCGGCGAAGAAAGTTTTTGTTTAGGAATATTTTAAATGCATTCACTCCTATTAGTAGTTTGAGTTTGGGGCGGATTTTTATGATGATTAATGCATTTTTGATGAGTTATAAACAAGTGCAAGTTTCCAACAGGGGTTCGCCTCAAAAGGTATAAATGCAAAGTGTCGACAATAAAAACATCATTATATTTCGAAAGTAGATTTTTATGGAAATACATACCGAAGAGGTTAATTGGTGAAAATTTTAAGGTAGGTTAGAAAATTAATTCAAAGTAAATAAGAACAATGATTAAAATAACATTTTAGGTTTTACTAAATGATTAATTAGTTTTTCATTTCAATGTAACCAATACCATTGAATTAAAAAGGGTATTTAGTTTGTTTCAATAATAATATTATTGAAAAAATATTATTTTTAATTCATCGAAAGGGCCAAATAGAGGTTTTATATTTCCAACTGGCTCTGAAGTTTGAAACCAGAATCAGTAGAACATCTCCGACAATCTAGCTATGAAAAATTAATACTTCTGCGCCCTGAATCATTCATACAGCAGAGAATCGAGAGACATGCATCAAATGCAAAATTTGTTAGCAAATGAGGAGGACTCGGACACTGATGCCGCTAGTGCTCGTGACTGTGTATATACGTATATAAATTTGTTTGTGTGTGGCAGCATTCTATTCGGTGAAACATTTTCATTTATATTTATGAGTGTTTCCACTAGTTTGCCATAGAACGAATAGTTGGAGAGCAGAAGAGCTATAGTGCAAAAAAGAATGCTATAATGCAAATACTAAAGAAGGTAAAATAAAAACGGAGCACTTGACTGGCCCCATAGAGAAGAGTATACAACTCTATCTACATAAAAACACAATTCACAAACCCACACACACACAAACATGCTTCTCATAAAGACCATTACATTTAATTTCTATACACAAATACACAACAAACACCAACCATGATTTATGAATGCCGCCCACATTCCCACTGCTCGCTCAAACAGTGAGTTAGTTGATGGTGCTTTTAAGAGCAAAATGCATTTTAAACTGGGTTAAGACCCATACGAAAAATTGCCCCAAAAATGTATCGATTCATGCTGAAACCAACCATGACCTAAAACATTTCTAAAATAGTAGTGCATTTCATTTAGAACAGATGTGTTTTGTAAAAGTACTCTAGTGTGCTTTAGTATCTGAAAGAGCATTGTTTTTCACATTTGAATGCAATGGCGATGAAGTGAACTCCTCCATGTGCAGTTCTTCGGTGTCGTTGTTGCTGTGAACTGAAATTATTTTGAATGTATAAGCAAATCGATTAAACATAGATGTTCATGTTAATTTTTGTTTAATGTTGCATTAAAAGGTTATTTTGATCGTATGTTAATTTGTATGTTATCTACGAAATGGAGGAGGGAGTACAATGACTCTGTTACAAAATCTTGCTTTATTTAGTTGTTGTACGATATTGTAACTAAATGTCAGCAAAAATGCATTTTCAATTTTTTTAAGTGTATCTGACTATATTTCTGGGAGTATCTATGGGCATTGAACATTTTCTGCAAGGGGAATAACAAAATTAGTATACCTCCTTTTATACAGAGGATGATTTAAATAAACTGGTTTTTATTCATATTTTGATTTAATCTGTTTGCAAATATTTCAAATATTTCAGGTGTTTTTTTTTACAAATCTATTTTCGGAATATCATTTTTCTTAT